AGTTATCCAAATGAGAGCACAGCATAGAGTAAATCTAGCCTACAGCTTTTCAACTAAACATTTTGCATTTTACAATAAAATTACTGATAATTTTTCAAGTGAGCATGTCTCCAGGTGCTCTAAAATGAAGGTTTTTGATTTGATTGACTCTCTGGATTGCTCGCATTATAAGGACATCGTATGAGTAACGGACAAGTAAGTCCAGTGTTATTTGAATATTAATGTTATATCGCAAGTATATTTGTTGCAGATACTGTTTCTACGTTTATTTATATTAAAGGGGTCATATGATGCTTTTTTAAAGATCATTATTTTAGCATTATGCAAATATTTCCACATAGTGAGGTAGATATGTGGGGGCGTGTTAGAACGAGCCGTTTTAGGGGGGCATGGCAGAGTCTTAACTTTGATAAAGAATATCTCTTTGGTTTTGAGACTTTAGTCTTTGCAACTTCAGGGATCTTATCTATGCACAATCAGCTTGTAACACTCCAAAGAGAAAGGAAAACTTGAAATCACATCATATGACCCCTTTAATGCGATGTGAATTACGAGCTGTATTATATGCCGTCAATCCTTGAAGTTAAATATAGCGATCGATCACTGTGACTTGTATAAGTAGAAGATACTTTATGTTGCTTATTATTTATATCTATTATGTAACACTTAAGTGATTAATCTGCTAATTATTATTTCTTATTTGATTGTTCTAGAACACCTTGCATATGTCCATCTATGTTGATGCCAGAGCAATCATTAAAAGGCTATCAATGAGACATGGCTCGGAGTTCTCTGACAAGAATACTGTAGCGGTCAGTGCTCATCGATCCAACTACAAATCCTAAATCAGAACACTATATATAGGTTACATTTTAAATTTTCATTATTGTATTTTGAAAAATATATTTAAATTGTAAAAATTATACATAATATATATCATTTAATTTTTAATAAAATTATATATATGCAAAATATATTTTAATCTTTATATTGGGTTGAAAGGGGATCTTAAAATATTGCCTTGAAATTTCCAAAATGGGTTTGAGAAGTACCTGTAGTTTTTCTACACATAGACAGGACTGCTGCAGCACTGATAGCAGGTGGAGGTGTTAATGGAATAACTCCATCTGTTGAGGAACACGGTGTCTGAACCAGCAGCTCCGGCTCCATTAAGCAGATCACTGAAGAAAATCAACGAGCCACCGCAGGGAGAAGCAAACTAATGGCCACGGTAACTTCATTATGTATGACAAACTCTGTGGTTCTCTTCAGAGAAGTGGAATGATCTTGAATCCGGATGTACTTTAAATCACCATAAATAGACATCAAACCTTTAAAGCCAATATCGGCCCAATTATTTCAATAACACGTGGCATGCTGTTGCATTACCTGTGTCTGCAGAGGAGAATATGATTAATGCGGTTTCTGGAAATTAGTCGGGGTTCCCACTATTCAATGACTGATCCAATTATCATGAACGACTGGAAGCATCATGGAAAAGATTTCCTAGAAATCATTTTGAGATTGCCGTCTTAAATTGCAAACTAAGCATCATTTTCATCATGAGAGCATACATTTAAAGACCCCCGCCCAGGATTATTTGATGAATATAAAGTTCAAAAGAACAGCAATTATATGAAACAGATTTAAAAAAAATAAATATATACTCTCAATTTTTTATAAGTTTAATAACCTTGTTGAATTAAACGATTTAATCAGTAAACACACACTGTTTGTAGTGGGCCTCCAACTTATGCTGCCTTCAAACTTCAAAAAGTGCATTAATAAATGCATTAAAGAACTCATTCTTGTTCAACCTAATTAAAAATTGACTAGTTTACATAATGTGACATTTTAATGCTTAGATTATCAAGTTGTTAGCTTAAAAACAAGCCAAACTCCACTGAAATCAATGTTGAATCGAGTCTCCCATGACAGCAAGAAAGCTCACTAGGTTTTGGAACAGAGCCACAGAGATATAATATATAGTACAGAGATATTATATATTATATAACAATTCAGCTAGTTTTCTGTGAAGTACACACACTTTGAATAAATCAGAAAGTAAGGAGAAAAGAAAACGACACCAATATGCAAAGGTAAACTAAGATCTTTTTTTTTATTCCTTTCTCTTTTTTTATTTTTTTTGCTTATGTATATATAGATCTATTTTTTGTTCCTTTTTCTACATACAAGTCCTTATGTCGTCATGCTGGGTGCAGCTTCGGTGAAGTAGCTCATGCAGGTGACCCATGTGGATATTACGAAGGACAGGCAAAAGACGGGGTGGACCGAGATTGTGTTGAGACCGAGCTGGACCACCGCCGGACTCCACTGTACAGTCACCAAATCACAAGACGTTTAGAAACGGGTGACCAGGACCAGGAGGACGAAAGTCAGGACTCCTCACTAAGACACGGCTTAGATTTCCAAAAGGAAAAAAATCGTGACATCATCAACTGGCGTCTCACGCCATCAAAATCCCCGTAACAGAAGACGACAGCTGAAGAGAAGGTGAAGACGAAATTAGGATGATGCAAAAGTCCCCAAGAAAAAAAATCCCAAAAGTCTCCTGTCCTTGAAAAGTGTCACCAGCAGAAAGAGCTACTTTTTGCTGAGCCACATTTATGTAGAACCGACTGTGCTCATTAATTTCAGTCTGTAATCGTTTCCATTAGAGCAAAATGGAGTCAAAGTCTACAGTCATTAATCATTACAGTACTGCAGATCCCCATACACTCATTCAGGTCCGTCAGAAATACATTACAGAACTCTGCAAGGACACGGCCACCCTGGCATTTAGAGTAAAGACCTTAAAACCAAAATGCATGTTGCTTTTTGAGTGAAAAATGAAAATTAGTAATACATATGCAAGGAGTCTACTGTAACGGCATCGGAGAGGGTCACAATATATTTACAGCAGTGCATCCACCGTGTACCAGAATACTGAAAATAATAAAGAGCGCGTCCCAAAGTCAGCCCTGACTGATCCAACTCAAACGCACACATTAAAAACAAAAATACATTAGTGAGTGAACGAACAAAACTCAAAACAAGGCAGAACTGTAAAATGCTGAACAATCTTTGCACCAATAACCTTCTTGTCTTTTAAAAAATAGTCTCCGTTGGTTTAAATGCTTCAAAAGGAAAAGAAATTGACATCTTTGGTGAAGATTCCACAGCAATCTCTCAGTCTTGTTGCCATGATGTCTCTGCAGAATGCCAACTGGGCTCAGCAGCAGGTGCACAAACGAACACATTCGAACAAATGAACGGACAAACACGCATACTGCTGGTTTCTTTAAAAGGTTTAAAATCAACGACAATCCAGCTGGAGAAACCTGATGCCATCGAGGGGAAAATAGAATGACCGTGGTGAGGATGAAGGAGGTCTGATTTCATGGAAGTCTCAGGCTCTGTGACTATCAGTACTTTGAACCATTTGAAGATTTAAAGAAATAGTTGACCTTTCTGAAATCACCATTCCAAATCTGTATTTATGTATGAGCAATCTTTTCTTGTAAGATTTATTTTTGGCGTTGTTGCCTTTATTATGAAAGGACAGTTTAGATCTGACAGGAAGTGAAGTGGGATTGGGAAAAGTCCTTGAGCCCGGATTCGAACTTGGGACGCGCTGCCCACGAGGCTATTGGCACCCATGCTTTTTATCAATCTTAATGCAGCTGTTCATTGGTCACCTTGGTGCAAAACCCCCGAAAGGACCATTAACCCACTAAATAACATTTAAAGGGGTCATATGACGTGATTTAAATTTTTCCTTTCTCTTTGGAGTGTTACAAGCTCTTGGTGCATAAAGAAGATCTGTAAAGTTGCAAAGACTAAAGTCTCAAATCCAAAGAGATATCCTTTATAAAAGTCAAGAGTCAACCACGCCTACCTAAAACGCCTCGTTCTAACACGCCCCCACATATCTACGTCACTATGTGGAAATATTAGCATAATGCTGCCCATATGTGCATGCAAAGAAAGAATGTGTGGTTTCAGTAACCGCAGTTAGTGTTGAAGGACATTTCCAACGTGTGCTTGTGGTGTTCGGCCAATCACAATGCACTGGGTCTGCTGGCCAATCAGAGCAGACTGCGCTTGTCAAAGGAGGGGGCTTTGTTGAAAACAACGCATTTGAGAGAGGCGGGGCATAGAGGACCTACAATGATGTACAGTATTTGAAAAATAATGTGTTTTTTGAACATTAAAGCATGTCAACATATTCTGTTACACCAAATACACAAAATAATGATCTTTAAAATAGCATCGTATGATCCCTTTAAAGTAGTCAATATTTGATATTCAAGACTTTATTGATCGTAAATCTTTCCTTCTGCTGCAGCTCTCAGATGTCAAAAGTTTGGGGTGAGTAAAATGTTTAAAAAATAAATGAGTACATTCATTCATCAAGTATGCACCGAATCGCTCAAAAGTGACAGTAAAGACATTTACATTGTTAAAAAAGATTTCTATTTCAAATAAATGTTGACCTGCATGTTGTCCACATTGATCATTCTAAGAAATGTTTTATTAGCAGTAGCACCAAATCAGAAGGATTTCTAAAGTATCGTGTGACACTGAAGACTGGAGTAATGATGCTGAAAATTCAGCTTTGACATCACAGGAATACATTACATTTTAAAATATACGAAAATAGATATCAGTTATTTTAAATTGTAATACTATTTCACAATTGTTCCATTTTTTTGATTCACAGCCCAAAACTTTGAACAAAACTGTACTGCATATTCAACACTGTGATTCTAGTGCAAAATTCCTTATATATTTCAGTCAATTTCTCTGATAAAAAGTTTCCCAAGATCTAACATATAATGCTCAAGTCATACAGAGTAATGTTATGCTGGTTTTATGGTGATGTTTTGTCGTTTCTGAGCTCGACTTACAGCATAAAGGTCTGAGGGTGAGTGAATCACAGAATTTTCATTTCTGGGTCAACTACTCCTTTAAATACTAATGCAGCCTTGTATCTTTAGTTTTTAAGTGTAAAATTATGACTGAAATGTAATAAATCCCATCAGGAGTTTATATTATACAGCAACACTCCTGGAATCTGAAAACCACCAAAGCCAAACTTTAAAAATGAATGATCGGTATAGAAATACTTCTGCTTCTCAGCTCTCAATAACCTTACCAGTCAAACATTCTGCACTGGATAAGTCATAAATCAAAGAGCACCTAAGCTCCTGGCTCAGACCTACAGCACAAGTCTGCAGAGGGGAAACCTCATCCTCAAGGACACAGCTGAATTCAGTCTTACAGAAGCGTCTCTGAGGAGGAATGTAGGCATTCAGGTCTATGCAGGAAATCAAAAAAATCCTCAAACAAGTCGCAAGGATAAAGTGAAAGTCAGAGTCGCCTCTGCAAACCCTCGCTTCCACATGCAGAGATGGCTTTTGTCAATAATAAACGTGCATTTTACAGACCATTCTGCCATCTTGAAAAACTCCCACAATGCCCTGCTCTCAAACCTGCAGTGACTAAATGCAGCATGAATGTTGAAGGAAGAGCTCATCCAGAAATCTTGGAACAAATTTTCATAATTGGATGAACTATTCCTTTAACATATGTGTAACTCGATCACATTAGCAGATCAGGTTCACTGGGAAATCTGCTGTTTGGTGATCGGAGTGATCCGATGGACTCCATGCAGCTTAAAGTCAATACAATGTAGACACCTAAAAGTAGGGCTTCTAAAATGGTCCATTATAGGCCAGTAAAGTATTAAACCCAGAATAAAGGGCTTTCTTTGAGCCTTATGTAATTCGCACATGCATTTAAGACCTCTGAGAAATCTCAACAGCCACGACACATCGTTTAATAACATCAATGCACTTTGGTTGCATCCATAAGACTACTCCATTTTCCAATTCAAATCACTGTTTGGGAATACAGCTTACCTAGGAACCATATGCAAAAATTCAAGTTTCCCTCCGAGGTCAAATTAAAATCTGAAATCTATTTTACTAAAAAGACGGCGTACGCTAATTCTACACTAAAGTCCTGACAAAATAAGTTTGTCTATCTAAAGGGACCATGCTGTATAGTTTTGATCTATGTGATAGAATTTCTTCCCCTTCTAAAATCCAGAGGGAACGGAATAAAAAATATAAATATGCTTATGTTTTGCATATCAAGGAGAACCATGCTCAAAAGGTGAGCCAGCATTTGGGTAGGCTGGACCAGGAAACCTTCAGACCCGTGCACAGCGGTGTGGTCGACCTGAAGCCAAGTAACGTGCACGTTTACGGCATCGAGGTTTTTTCAGAACAACCCTCTCTCTCAAAAAAACCCCAACATTTTTCCAGTTACAAATGACATTACGTCCTGTTATCTGCTGAGGGCTAATGCCGCTAACTTCAAAACAAACATATGTTAGATGAAAATCTGATTCTACATTACAAATTAAAAAGGCAGAGTCATGATTCACACAAAGACAGCAAAATGACAGACACTAAAGGGCTCTTGGTTTGTCTGAGAACAAACAGCATCACACACACACACACACACACACACACACACATCGCAACACATCAAGTGAAGTATTAACAGCTGGTTGTTGTCATGTCCTGGTCTTTTTATGTTCCCTTTTCAAGAGTTCAGCGAGAACTGGTCCTGTTCTATGGGTTTTTTCACCCAGGCGCCCAGACCCGCTTTGTGAAAGGCCTTGATGAGCGTTTGCTTGGCCGTATGGTACTCCACCGCTGCTTGTTTGGCTTCGTGGTACGAGCTGGGCTTGGGCACTTTGATTCGGAGAGTTGACGAAAGCTGCAGATACAAAAAAAATTATTTGTTTTTGCATTATTTTGTAATATAATACATATCATGCAATACGTAGACTATAATAGCAAACAACAATACTGCATGCTTCACATTTCAAAGGTTGAAAGTATAATACGTATAAATATAATAATACAATACAAAATATATTTATAGTTATATTCTTGATTCATGTTCTGTTCTGAACATTGCTAAATGTAAAGGATTTGTTGAGGAGTGAGGGGAACTAATAAACATGTTTATAGCATTTAGAATGTTTGCAAATGTTTTATATTTTTTTGTAAACTTTGCAATGCAACTGATGCAACATTTTTGTGTTTTGTTCTGTCAACAATGCAATTTTCTGGAAAATACAATATATATATATATATATATATACACACACACACACTCACTATATATATATATATATATATATATATATATAAGCATATTTTTGCAAATGTAATTTGCTACGCTGCAGCAATACATCCACGACATGCTGCTGTGAGCATGTAAGAAATATTGCTGCAGCAAATATACATGAAATAACACCCATAAAGCATACATGAATCACCTCATAGCAGATCTATACAGGTGGAGCTGGGGAAGGTGGAGGGTTTCTGAAGCACGTTGCAACTGCTACGGTAAGCCCTAGTCATATATTTGAATGCTGAGCAGCGAGCTCATTGGCTACCAATACAGGAGAGAACCAATCAGCTGTGCCATGTGATAATGATGTCATTAGGTCAGATTGAGTTGGACCTATCGGACTGCGCCATCTAGAGTTTCATGCCAGAACTCTGTATATACAGTACGTATATACACATACACACTAGGGATATTTATTTTGCAAAGGGAAACAACAAAAAAAATGTAGTAAAATCTGTGCCGTTAAGTGTTATCACAGTACCACTGTGATGTTATGCAAACCATTTTGTTTTACGTGGATATTGGAACGCGAGTGAAATACATAAATAATATTTTGGCATTCAAATACATTGCGAATACAGAAACATTTGATTTTGTGTGGAATGAGAGACACAACGTTGGTTTCTGTTTCGTTTTAGCCTAAATTAATTTGTTTTGGCTTGTCGTTTATATTGCTATGGCTTCTTATATTTTTAATTCTCGTTCTTTTCTAAATACTGTTAATTGAAAGGATTTGTTGTAGAGTGAGGAGAACTAAAATAGCCTAGCTATGTTTACAGTGTTTATTATAATGTTTGTAAACATTTCGTGTCAGCATTAGGCCTATTTCTGAATGAAATAATAAAATGCGACTTATGTTTTTTTTTTTCCTCTAAAAAAAACGAATTTTTTATACGCATAGCGTATTTCAACCATGCGGCAACCTTTTTAAATATTTTGATCAATTACTTAAAAAAATAAATAAAAATAAATGACTTTTTAAACCGTTTAACTGATTGTATTAATCGGTAAAAATTCTTCACGGTCGGTTAATGGTTAACCGGTTAAAATGAACATCCCTAACGCACGCACGCACGCACACACAAATAATATCATAATATCTTTTAAGCCAAGTCCTGAAGTAAGGTTGAAAGTGAATCTGTGATAGCGGTACCTTAGAGTGTAGTCGCACCCTCGCACCCAATAGGGCATGCTTACAGAGACGTGAGGCTCTGCCCATGTCATCCTTGCCTGTGGTGGCGTTAATGATTTCTAGAGCCTGATCTCCCACCGTCCAGTTCACACTGAAGTTAGGAGCCTTTCCCGGCTGCCGGGCCTCAGCGTTACTGATTCCTGCAAACACACAAACACACTAAACATAGTAGAAAATCACACCCAGAAACAGCCTGGGTGCGTTTACTTTTCTGCATGAATAAAACATCCAGTGTGGCCCTTTTTATGCAGATGACTTGATATCAAGATATTTCTTAATCAAATAAGAAGAAATTCGTTTCAAGGCTTCTGTTTTTAATGAAAGAACACAGATAAAACAATGTGCTCAAGGTTGTGTATTCAGTATAAGACCTTCAACAGATAGTCTGATGACTAATGCTGCTTTACAAGTCTTGCACGTGAACTTAAAAAGAGCACAGAAAAATGTTAAAGAACAGACTAAACCGGAAACAAACTAGATAGCAGAAACTACTGAATTTATATTGACTAAATAATTACTTGGAAAAAGCTGAAGCAACGGAAATTATTTGAAAAACACTTGAAGGATGCATGCCATTATTCATTCATATTTATATTCTTAAGTTTAAAATCTATTAAATAATATACTATTATGTAATATTTCAAGAATATTTAGGTAAAGCATAAATGGCTCACTGCACTATACATTACCTCTTTACCTGCAGACCAAGACGACAAGAACAAAAAGAGTTGACAAATGCAGAAGGGTTGTTCTTTGAGCTCAGGTCGAGTACGCTATGCCTCAACCTCCCACGACACATCATCAAATGAAGATTTTCAGCAGTGAGCTATTAAAAGCTAGTTCTGCTGGGAATCTGATGTAACCCAGTGCAAAAGCAGTGTTGGGTGTTTCACTTGCGTTAAGTGTTATCACAGTACCACTGTGATGTTATGCAAACCATTTTGTTTTACGTGGATATTGGAACGCGAGTGAAATACATAAATAATATTTTGGCATTCAAATACATTGCGAATACAGAAACATTTGATTTTGTGTGGAATGAGAGACACAACGTTGGTTTCTGTTTCGTTTTAGCCTAAATTAATTTGTTTTGGCTTGTCGTTTATATTGCTATGGCTTCTTATATTTTTAATTCTCGTTCTTTTCTAAATACTGTTAATTGAAAGGATTTGTTGTAGAGTGAGGAGAACTAAAATAGCCTAGCTATGTTTACAGTGTTTATTATAATGTTTGTAAACATTTCGTGTCAGCATTAGGCCTATTTCTGAATGAAATAATAAAATGCGACTTATGTTTTTTTTTTTCCTCTACAAAAAACGAATTTTTTATACGCATAGCGTATTTCAACCATGCGGCAACCTTTTTAAATATTTTGATCAATTACTTAAAAAAATAAATAAAAATAAATGACTTTTTAAACCGTTTAACTGATTGTATTAATCGGTAAAAATTCTTCACGGTCGGTTAATGGTTAACCGGTTAAAATGAACATCCCTAACGCACGCACGCACGCACACACAAATAATATCTTTACTTTTCTTAAGCCAAGTCCTGAAGTAAGGTTGAAAGTGAATCTGTGATAGCGGTACCTTAGAGTGTAGTCGCACCCAGCGGCTGTATAGGGCATGCTTACAGAGACGTGAGGCTCTGCCCATGTCATCCTTGCCTGTGGTGGCGTTAATGATTTCTAGAGCCTGATCTCCCACCGTCCAGTTCACACTGAAGTTAGGAGCCTTTCCCGGCTGCCGGGCCTCGGCGTTACTGATTCCTGCAAACACACAAACACACTAAACATAGTAGAAAATCACACCCAGAAACAGCCTGGGTGCGTTTACTTTTCTGCATGAATAAAACATCCAGTGTGGCCCTTTTTATGCAGATGACTTGATATCAAGATATTTCTTAATCAAATAAGAAGAAATTCGTTTCAAGGCTTCTGTTTTTAATGAAAGAACACAGATAAAACAATGTGCTCAAGGTTGTGTATTCAGTATAAGACCTTCAACAGATAGTCTGATGACTAATGCTGCTTTACAAGTCTTGCACGTGAACTTAAAAAGAGCACAGAAAAATGTTAAAGAACAGACTAAACCGGAAACAAACTAGATAGCAGAAACTACTGAATTTATATTGACTAAATAATTACTTGGAAAAAGCTGAAGCAACGGAAATTATTTGAAAAACACTTGAAGGATGCATGCCATTATTCATTCATATTTATATTCTTAAGTTTAAAATCTATTAAATAATATACTATTATGTAATATTTCAAGAATATTTAGGTAAAGCATAAATGGCTCACTGCACTATACATTACCTCTTTACCTGCAGACCAAGACGACAAGAACAAAAAGAGTTGACAAATGCAGAAGGGTTGTTCTTTGAGCTCAGGTCGAGTACGCTATGCCTCAACCTCCCACGACACATCATCAAATGAAGATTTTCAGCAGTGAGCTATTAAAAGCTAGTTCTGCTGGGAATCTGATGTAACCCAGTGCAAAAGCAGTGTTGGGTGTTTCACTTGAGGCACAGAGTAAGAAAGGATATGTACTCAATTCATCGTATATACTTCTCCAAAAGCAGCCAATGTCTCCCTAAGACATTTTGAAACTCAAGCGAGTCTTTAATCAGGAACCGGTGTCCACTTAAACCTAGTGCTGGGTATAAACTACATAAAAGTAGAAACGCTACTAACTTAAACATCATATTTCAGTAGCATAACAATAGCTCAGCTTTTTGAAAAAACTGTCAAGTCATCTTTATATATATTGCGACATTTATCTATAATACAGATTGTTTCAAAGCAGCTTTACAATGATGAACAGGGAAAAAAACAATCATCAAATAGGAGACAAATTAAAATTTTGCTGTAAAGAAGCTCTAATAGTGTCGTTTTTTTAATAAGAACTACTGTTTGCACATTGACTGGACAGAAAAAAGTTAAAACTAAACTTTCAAAAATTAAAGTGGGAAATTCTGATTCATTTAGAGCACAAACACTTAGGTAATTTTTCTGTTTTGTAGTATGCGTGTATAATATATATATATATATATATATATATATATATATATATATATATATATATGTATGTATTAAATTCAAAACTATTAAATATGATAGTTATGCATTTAAACGATACTGCCTCTTTGAGCGTCTTTTGGTTAGTTTTTATTAGAGTTAGGTTTTTGTTAGGCAAGCTACTAGTAGTTTTTCTAACAACTTTAAAATACACTTATTACTCAATAAAATTATCCAACTGACTGCATAATTGATGAATTTTGCTACATTGACCATTATTGAATGAACTGAATCAACAATGAATTTAACTGAATAATTACAATATTTGTCTGTCTCATATTTGATGATTTAAAACAATATGTATCGTACAGTATAAAGCGCTATATAATAAAGCTTACTTGACTTAACTACTTGACCAAAAAAGCAGCTTGACTGTTGTTTAACCACTTTACACTTTGACAAGCTTTTCCCAGTGTTGCCAGATTAGAAATGTACAAGTATCGTACCAGAAGCTCAAAATTATCGTATTTGGAAGAAAATTATCGCACACGAGTCAAACATACAGAATACAGCTTTTTATCTAGACCAACAACTTGCATGACCTGCAAATAACCACAATAGATAACTAGGCGTACCGTGTCTACACTGGACATGAGCGGTGCGACAAAATAGCCTACTATTGAACCCATTATAATCAGTGACTCTGTCTGCACTGGATCCCCAACAATAAACTGATGCCTCGTTCTATTTATGACGTATTAAAATGTTTTTTAACATTCGCTTTGTAGCGTCCAGTGTAGACAGACTTTAGCTGTTGCTGCGCGGCGCGACGGTGTTAACTCCACCTCTGAGTCACTGTCATCAGAAGCCTGTGTGTTGCCAGATGTTGAAGAGGTTCTTGCCGTCATGGACCGCAACATACACTCTTAAAAATAAAGGTGCTTCACGATGCCATAGAAGAACCTTTTTGTCTAAATGGTTCCATAAAGAACCTTTAACATTTGAAGAACCTTACTGTTTCACAAAAGGTTCTTTGTGGCGAAAGAAGGTTCTTCAGATTATAAAAAGGTAAGAAAGAGATGGTTCTTTAAAGAACCTTTGACGGAATGGTTCTTTGTGGAACCAAAAATGGTTCTTTTATGGCATCGCTTGAAGAACCTTTCGAAGCACCTTTATTTTTAAGAGTGTAGTGCTCCTTGGCTTAAAAGCAGGGCACCCTCCTGCATTCTTAACACACTCTGAGGTGTGCACGAGCGCATTTAGAGTGTCTGTAATGAGCCGATTTCGTGTATGAATATAGAAGCCCTATGACTACAACTACCATCATTTGAATTGTCATAAAATTCTGAAATTATTGTACATTAAGGGATTTTTTTCATTATTGATCATACATCGAGCAGAGGTAAAAAAAAAAAAATTAATAAAAATAAATAAATAATCATACGTCTAGCCATACGGGCATTTCCCAACCCTGCTATAGGCTGTGTGGGATTATTTTCCAGCTTCCTCTTTACAAAAAAGAAAAAAGAGAGAGAGAATGAGCGAAATCAGCAGGGGAATCTCAGGGGATTTGAGGCACGGTATGAATTACTGAAACAGGCTGGCGGTGGAGAGCAGGCCCATCTAAATTCCAGTAATTCATCAAACCACAAGGAAATTGAAGGCAAGTGGGGGAAACTGTCCGTCTAGTAAATGGTAATACAATTTGACATGGGTGCCATTTTCAATGATTTGGGAGAGGAAATGCAAGCCGGTGTGATGTTGTCTTACCGCTGAGCAGGGGGCGGTTGAGGGAGAATTGCTGGGGCAGGTCTTCGATGTCAGCGATCCGCTGGTACATGGCTCTGGAGAGATGATCAGCATGATACAGGCTGCCCAGGATGATGCTGGAGAAGTAGATGGGCTCAGTGAAGTAGCTCATCAGAGAGCCCTGGATGCCCACCACGTTCCACCTGCAGGAACAAACACACACACACACACCTCACATTAGTGTCCAGATTTTATATTGGGCACCAAGTGGCAACCTTACACAGACTGTTAAAAAGAATGTAACAATAATCAGCATTGTCATTTATTAATATTGCTATAAACTGCATAGACCCAACAGTACTGTATGCAGATAACGTTAGAATGAGAATGGAAGATGGAAAAATTAGTTAGATTGGACACGCAACAATAAAAGGTATGAGAAGTAACGTTGATAAGCCTATTTACTTAGCAAAGTTATTATTTGAATTATATTTAGTTATAACTGATTTACTTATTATTGAATTCAATCATAATATCAATATATATATTAGAATGTTTTATATGCATTTATTTTCCTCTGCTGTATACAACCCCATCAAAACAAACATGTGGCCCATTTTTAATATAATAGCTATAATTCATTTAATTCTTATTACATGAATTATAATTATTTTATAATTTAATTACTGGCATTTTGTGTTCTTTTCCCGCTGCTGTACGCAACCCCATCAAAACAGACCTGCATCCAATTTCTATCATAATTCATTAAAATTCATTTAATTATTCTTACATTTTATAATAATATAATTATTTTATAACTTTTTTATTGGCATTTTGCAACCCTGAACGCAACCCTGCCAGAACAGACCAGTTGCCCATTTTATTATAATAATTATACAGTAGTTCATTAAATTATTATTACATGTATTTATAATTATTTCATTATATTATCACCATTTTGCATTGTTTTCTCCACTTGTTGTATGCAGTCCCATCAAAACTGTGACTTATTTTTATCGTAATTAATAATTACTAAAATTAATTAAATTAATTATAATTATTTCATAACTTTTTTGAATTGGCATTTCACATTATTTCTCCCCCTTTTGTACGCAAACACAACAGAGGACCTTTATCATAATTAAATAAAATTATTACTACATTTAGTTATAATGCAATATTACAGTTTTAGCATTGACATTTTGAATCGTTTTCCCCCCTGCTTTCACAACAGACCCAATTTTATTTAATTATATAATGATTATGCTTATAATCATTTAATTATATTATGATTATAATTAATATTACATTTAAATATAATTTACACTTTTTACACAACCCCATCAAAACAGACTTGCAACCCATTTTTGGGTCCCGGCCCACCACTAGACACACTGACTTTGCCTTGACTTGTCTTTACAAGAGTACATCTATTTTTGATTTCGTTTGTTACTAGCCTGAAGTATTTCCAGCAGTTTAACATAATGAAACACCGTTGGAATTCCTAATCTCATTCCGTCTGAACACTGTAAAAATTACCACGTACAGGTAGATGGAACATAAGACAACCACGAGCTACAAGAATCTAAAACACAAAAGCAAAAAAAGCAATCTGGCCTGAAGGCCAGATGTGAATGATTTTCTAATGATATATTAAAAAGCAAGAATTGTTCAATTAGTGCAGTTCTTCCAAATCACCTCATTTATGTCTTCACAGGTCCCAGAGACTCACCCACTGGATCTCCCTCCTCAGCCGTACACAATCAGAAGGCCTAATCAAGCCCAGATCTGCTCCCCAAAACAACACCTGCTGTATGCAGCTGAGAAGAACCCAGACTCAAGTGATTGGAGTCGTTCTCGTCTGACCAATCAACAGCCTCAGATGCCAAAGAGACACAGTCCAACTTTTGCTACCGTTAACAAGACCACTTTGCTAAGCACTTCCCCTCCTGTAGCCAGAACACACTGCAGCTTATTCAGAGTTTCTGCTGGCGTTTATCAAGTCTACTTGCTAAACTAGACAGCTTTTTACAGTTTTATTGACCGTAACCCCACAAATCCAGTGATTAAATGCATTCATTGCATTAATTTGTTTTTCGCAGAAGCCAGTTTTTGAGTGCAATATATGCAGCCAGTGAATGGACTTCGGGTGGTCGTCTGAGACTAGCCTTGTACAAGAACACTTAATCCTGGCAGTAAGATTGAAATAAAAAGCCACACATTACAGATCAGAAGTTAAAAACCCAGGGGAACAGTTAATAATTCAGACTAATGATATATAGATATATATATATCAGCAAAGATGCATTAAAGGGTTAGTTCACCCAAAAATGAAGATTAGGCTGTGTTTTACTCACCCCCGAGAGCATCCTAGGTGTATATGACTTTCTTCTTTCAGACGAATCCAGTCGGAGTTATATAAAAAAATTGTCCTGGCTATTCCAAGCTCTATCATTGCAGTCAGTGGGTTTTGCATTGCTTCAGTCCAAAAGAAGTGAAATAAAAAGCGCCCATCCATAAAAAAAAGTGTCTCACACGGCTCCGGGGGGTGAACAAAGTCCTCCTGTAGCGAATCGATGCATTTTTGTAAGAAAAATAGCCATATTCAAAACGTAATAATCAATTTAATCTAGCTTGCGCTCACTGTTGTACACAGAAGCAGCTCCGGGCAGATGACGTATGAGGTCAGCTATGCGCATGCGCCGCTCAGAAGTGACAAACGCAGAAGCGCAGGGAAGATATCAAAACAAAACAACGGTCACTAATTACGTAGTAATTACGAGGATTTGTAAAGACTCATGGACGCATGCGCAACGCTGAACTCGTACGTCACCGGAACTGCTTCCGTGTAGGACTGTTGGCACAAGCTACATTTTCTTACAAAAACGTATCGATTCGCTACAGGAGGCCTTTGTTCACCCCCCAGAGCCGTGTGAGACACTTTTTTTTATGGATGGGCGCATTTTATTTAACTGCTTTTGGACTGAAGCAATGCAATCCCCGCTGAGTGGCATTAAACAGCTTGAAAGATCAAAGACAATTTTTAATAGAGCCTGACTGATATATCGTTTTGCCGATATTATCGGCCGATATGAGCCTGTCGCCGATATATCAGTATTGGCGAATATGCCGCCGATATGAATTTTTTTTTTACAGAACATATAATGCAGATAAAATACTTGAAATGGTGTAATTACTTAGTTTGTCCAGCAGAGTGCGCTCCATTGTTTGTTACTGGTGACCTGGATGAAACGCTTTAAAGCTTAAGTCAATGGAAAACCATTGAAACTTTGAACGGCCATATCTCCGTAACGGCGCGGTGAATCCGCACCAAATTTGGGGGATCTCTTCAGCTCAAGGAACCTCTCGAACGCAAATCAAGTGTACGTTTTTCGAATGAGACCACCCCCACGTGGATAGCCCCCGGGGTTCGGGAGTTACGGGTGGTTAAATTCGCGGCCCGGCACCGACCGATCGACCGATCTCGGGGGGCTACCGACGCGCGGAGGGTGGCGTTCGAGAAGGCTCCTCGAGCTGAAGAGATCCCCCGAATTTCCGAATTTGCCGCCGGCACGTTCGCGAGATAGTGACATCAGTCAACACTTTCCCTTCAGTAAGGAGGTCTCTTGTTCAGGCAGTATTTACGCATTGTCTTATTCGACCGTAAGTGCCCTGCGAAGTGGACTTCACATGAAATTCCGCCATGATTCCAGTTCCAAGGGAACGTACACGTTACATTCAAAGGGCATTAAAGTGCGTGAGACGTGAATTTATATTGTATTTATTTACAGAGGTAGGGGAGAGCGGGGCACAAAGTAACACTTTTTGACTTTCTCAGTTTGTGTAAATCCACATGTGGTTCAGAATATATATATATTTTTATCCACAGTAATTTTACACTTGTCTACTACAAATATGTCGCTTTGTTTCATAATTACAGTGTATACGTTTTTCTTTATTTACCCTCAAAAAATGGAAGTGAAATGTGACAACATGCCCCGTAGGTGGAACACATTGTAACATCTGAGGGGCACGTTGTAACTTGACCATATGACAGCTTAAAATCTTATCTGATCGAATGAAAAAAATATACAAGACAAACTAAAATATTTTGTTAATAAATATAAATATATATATATATATTTTTTTTCAAATAAAATAATGGCGTTTAAGAATGAAAAATAATCTGATTTTGGAGTTTGACAATGAACACATTGCAACCATGCTTGGGACGGCCCACATAAACGAGCAAAAATGCTTTACATGTCTGACTGTCAGTCTTTATTCACCTGTTTCTCATTAAAATTAATTAAAGTAAATAGTGTAAATTACATCGCGTGAGACACTTTTTTTTATGGATGGGCGCATTTTATTTAACTGCTTTTGGACTGAAGCAATGCAATACCCGCTGAGTGGCATTAAACAGCTTGAAAGATCAAAGACAATTTTTAATAGAGCCTGACTGATATATCGTTTTGCCGATATTATCGGCCGATATGAGCCTGTCGCCGATATATCAGTATTGGCGAATATGCCGCCGATATGAATTTTTTTTTTACAGAACATATAATGCAGATAAAATACTTGAAATGGTGTAATTACTTAGTTTGTCCAGCAGAGTGCGCTCCATTGTTTGTTACTGGTGACCTGGATGAAACGCTTTAAAGCTTAAGTCAATGGAAAACCATTGAAACTTTGAACGGCCATATCTCCGTAACGGCGCGGTGAATCCGCACCAAATTTGGGGGATCTCTTCAGCTCAAGGAACCTCTCGAACGCAAATCAAGTGTACGTTTTTCGAATGAGACCACCCCCACGTGGATAGCCCCCGGGGTTCGGGAGTTACGGGTGGTTAAATTCGCGGCCCGGCACCGACCGATCTAGCGATCCCGGGGGGCTACCGACGCGCGGAGGGTGGCGTTCGAGAAGGCTCCTCGAGCTGAAGAGATCCCCCGAATTTGGTGGAGATCCGCCGGCACGTTCGCGAGATAGTGACATCAGTCAACACTTTCCCTTCAGTAAGGAGGTCTCTTGTTCAGGCAGTATTTACGCATTGTCTTATTCGACCGTAAGTGCCCTGCGAAGTGGACTTCACATGAAATTCCGCCATGATTCCAGTTCCAAGGGAACGTACACGTTACATTCAAAGGGCATTAAAGTGCGTGAGACGTGAATTTATATTGTATTTATTTACAGAGGTAGGGGAGAGCGGGGCACAAAGTAACACTTTTTGACTTTCTCAGTTTGTGTAAATCCACATG